CCAGATCTGTACCTGCAGCATCGCTAGGTGCCAGTTCATGGCTCACAGGCCCACACTTCTTGCATAACTCTCAGCTTCGGTCAGATTCACAAAAGTCATTTGTGCTTGTGGATCCAAACTCAGATTCTGAAATACGCCCACATGTGGTTTCAAATCTTACTGAAGTTCCCAAGGTCACATGGAATTCTGAGAGATTTAGCAGATTCTCCAACTTTAACACTCTCATCAGAGCAATAGCACGTCTGATTCACATTGCCAGTTCTTTCTCCAAATGCTTGCAAGATGATAGTTGCAGAGGATGGCATGTCTGCTGCAATGGTCCTTCTGAAGAAGAGCTGGAAAGAGCCAAAATTCTTGTGTTGAGGAATGCTCAATACGAGAGTTATCCAACAGAGATTAAAAGCATCACTGCATCTCACAACCTTCCTCATAAGAGTGTGTTGAGGAAACTATCTCCTGTCCTTGACAGCAATGGCTTACTTCGAGTAGGGGGTCGTATTGTGAGGTCAGGTCTGGAAACTTGTGACGTTAACCCAATTATCATCCCGGGTACACATCATGTGGCAAAACTGATTGTGCGACATTATCATGAGTCTGTGAAACATCAGGGCAGACACTTTACAGAAGGTGCTGTCAGAGCGGCAGGATTTTGGCTTGTCGGAGGCAAGAAGTGCATACGCAGTTTGCTTTTCAAGTGTGTAATCTGCAAGAAGCTACGAGGGAAGACAGAGCATCAGCAGATGTCTGATTTGCCAGTGGAACGGTTGACAGTAGCTCCACCCTTTACCTATGTGGGTGTTGATGTTTTCGGACCATGGGAAGTGACAGCCCGCAAGACCAGAGGAGGTCAAGCTAATTCCAAAAGGTGGGCAGTTATGTTCTCATGTATGTGCTCAAGAGCTGTTCACATCGAAGTTATCGAAGCAATAGCCGCGTTTCCACTGCCGGGCTAGGGCTGGGCCAGAGCTAACAGCGAGCCGAGCCGAGCTAGTGGCCTCGGGCCTCAAGCACCGGGCTTGCGTTTCCACTGCCGGGCCAGTAGCCCCACAGCGCTGCCCCAGACCCCACCCCTAACACGCCTTTCTGGATCAAACGTCATAAAACCCAACCCATTTCAGCGGGTATTATGAATTAATTTATTTTTTAAATTAGGAAGATAGCATGTATATTAACTCAACTGCCGTAGTGGCTGCAATAGTGTCCCGAGACCAGTACAGGCGATTCTCCATTTCAAGCAGCGATTTTTTTTTTGCGCGATATAACAAGTAGGGCTGCGGGCACGTTTTCAAGTTATTCATTAATCGTTAACCGAGGCCCATCGGTTAATACTCGGTGCATAGTGTGCGCGCCGCAACCTCGAGATACAGAGTAAAAAATTTTAACACCTTTAATAACTGATTGGACCCCATTTGAAACGAAATTTATTTATAGAAATAAAACGCAGCAAGTACGGAGCAGTTAAAGCCCCATTTCCATCACCCTTCAAACTGAAATTGCCAATTGAAAATAAGCAAAACGTCCATTTCACAAAAACTCCGTGTCTGCAAATAATAATAATAATAATAACCATCATCATCATTATTGTAACATTTTATTAGGCTGCATATGTAGAAGACGCCTTTATCCAAAAAAGGAACAGAGCACAAATAAACACAATATTTTTGACAAATATCAGCGCATATCCAGTGTGTGTGGAGCACGCACTGATGGCTGCGAGACGCCCATGTGAACAGTTTCATTGCATTTCTTTCAGTGGAAACAACTTAAAATACTCTTTCATTTCTGGTCATACAGAAAATAATAATTCATTATTCGCAAATAAATTTATTTATAACAAGAAAACGTTGTGCTTTAACAATTAATCAAGGCGCGCTTCATGATCTCCGTGAACTAAAGCGCGAGACCTGAAACAGCCACCGCATTCGAATTTGTTCGTTTTATATTGGACATTTAAAGCTTTAGTCTACAGGGGTGTAGCAAATGCAACATATAATAATATACATAAAATGTATTAAAGGGGGCCGAAGGCCAATTTAGCTCAAAGGGAAATGATTCATTGATTTGCAATGAATCTATGGAACAGAATCACTGAGCCGAGCAAATGACTCGCTTAGAATTCATTTGAACGGGCCGTAATTATAACCAAATCTATAGTGAAACACTATATCTTAGCAAGGTAACTTTAAATCGAACAGTACAAGACATTAAATGTGCAAACACGACACAAGAATATTTATCTTTTCAAATATATGGACAAGACTTTATTAGCTATTCTAAGCACAAAACTAAGGTCTAAACATAATCACGCACACGCACACACACATTCATACAGTCGCGAAAGGGAAAGAGTGAGTTGGAAAGAGTGAGAGAGAAAGTGTCAACTTTCTATATGCACGTAAGACATAACCTGAAAGGACCACCAAGCATTAATTTGAACCTTCATTTCTTAGAGAGGTTATTCAATTAACATCAAAGCACCAGTTCAGTTAGAGCCTGGAGTACTTGCGCTTTGTAGTGGCTGAGGGAATTCCCTTTGTCTGCGTCGCGTCGAAGGGGGGTTTCCCGGCCGGGTCCGTTGCGTGGTTTGTTGTCTTTGAAGTGCAGGGATGGAAGTTTCGCCGCTGGTCACGTGTGATTAGCAAGCGAATGAGAGTCTTTTCCAATTCGAAGCGCGTTGCAAACTTAACTTTGAAACGAGACTTTTACGAAAAAGGAAATAAAGGAAAGAAATGAAAGCAAGGCGAGTCGGATGGCTTGACTGAGCTGAATTGTAACCCTGATCTTGATGGGTTATTCGTCTGCTGGTCGAATTTGGTCTAGTCGATGTAGAAGCATGCGAACATGTTCTTTGTTTCAGAGATAAGCACGAACAGAACACTCTCTTGCTGGTTTTAGAGAGAGGCACGGACTTAACAGTTACAGAACAGAACGAACTGAACAAAAATCTAAACAAAAATCATCTGAAATCTTCTAAAATCTACAAAAATCAGATCTTGAGGTCCTTTGTTCGGATCTTTAACTTAAACTCTAGTCCAACCTCCAAGAAGCTTCTGGCCAATTGGAGGCGGATCTACTTCTTGCTTTATCATAATTTATGCATGGTCTGTGAGCTGGTCTCCAGCACTTAGCAGAGACAAAAGACCATCGTTTTAACCTTATGATAATTATAATAATAAAACAAACCCTTTTACGCAGATTTCAATCAAGCCATCTTTTGAATTAGGAGAATACGATTCGTTTAAGAGTAAATGAGGCATTCACACTTCTAATGGTTGTATAACAATTACAAGAGTTAATAGTTAACAACAATTACATGATTCATATGTGATCTAAGCATTAACAAACAACACATGAATTGCAGAAAGCAATGAGACTTGTGAGGTTTGATTAAAAGTTCAAGAATTGTTCTGTGGTGAGTTTATATGATTTTATGTGTGAGATCTCCGATCTCAATCGTAAGGTTACTGAGAGTTCAACTCGAAGGGGGACGAGGCAAAGGTGTTCTGTGGAACATCTCTGTCAGGGCATCAGAGGGGTCTTTGATGTGAGATCTCGTTCCACCATTTTGGAGCTGATTTGTCTTAGTTAAAATTACCATATTGACACGTTCGTCCTGTTTAGTGCCCATCTCTTGGGCCTGTGGGGCAATAAAAGTCCTTATCTGCAGACAGCACGGAGTCGTTCCGTGACTCTGGAATGTGGGCTCCAGAACTTGGAGTGTTGAAGCCATGTGAATTAATCCCATGAGAGATTAATTTGATTAAGTTGTGTTTGATTCGCCTCGATTCTCTACATATTCCCCCCTCGATCGATGATGGGTTGAGAAGAAGACATCATTGAACGCTGGAGAAACAGAAGAAGTAGAAGCAAACACACACAGCGAACAACAAAGCAACTCCTCCATGACTGGTCACTTTACTGGTGCAGGGCATTAGGTTATCTAGGCCTAACGAGTTCACTCTCTCAATATAGTCAATTATGTGGAAAAAGTTTAGTTCAATTTTAGGACCGTTATTCTAGTTTGTGTTAAACGGTGATTGATCAACTTTGTGACTAAATTTGATTTGTTTGTTTTATCCACTTCTAAATTGTTCTAGGTTTAGACCAATTTACCTTCCAAATTTTGATTCGAATGATGCAGGGAGTTCTCTGGCTAACATTCGTTCTAAGGTGACTTGCAAACGTCAGGCGTGGTGCGTCAATCCTTATATTGTAACCTTGACCCTTATGGGGTAAAAGGGATTTTACCTAATAAGAGAAGAAGGGAAGGAAGAGGTAAAACAAAACAAAGCAGTTGAGTGACTCCAGTATGGGTACTGTTGTGCAGTGACAGGTGTCAACATGTGATGAGAGGTGTTATACTTGTTGGGTGTATCGCTATATGTTTCCTGTGGTGGAAAGGTTAGCTAATACAATGAAAAACATGTTTGTTGAATGTTTTCATGGTAGATGTGTTTAACTTGTGTATGTCAGTACAGTGTAGTGTAGTGCATGTACTGTATGTATGCTGTATGTATGTCAGATCTGTCTCAGTCTGTTTTGCTCCCCCCTTTGCTTGATGGCTTAGCTTTGATGAGCTTGTCACATCTTTGCCTTGGAAAGGGATCTTCTGTGATCTGCTGGGGGTCAGTCCCGTTAGGCAGGAAGTTCTCTGGCAGACATTGGGAGGTGGTTTGGCACGGATGCGTGAAGCTGTAGTGCAAAACGTGGTCTCCTTGTTGCATTCCACTTGTGATGCCTTCTGGTTGTGACAGACAGTCTGACTTCTGTGCTTACTGGTGTTGCGGCAGCACACAGATGGTTCTTGAGTTTGGAGCTTGTGGTGTGATGGGTAACCAGGATGGTGTTTTCTGGTACCTCTGGGTGTTTGTCAGTGGTTGACTGTGAGAGGCCACTTTGTTCTGTGTTGTTGTAGAACAGGTGGTCGTCTCAGGAAGGTGTGCAAGGTGATCACTGGTCTTCTGTGTTCAGCTTGTCTTTGAAGAACACTTGCAGTCGACTCAGTAGTTGCTCCTTGTCTTCTGAGGGGAGACTGTCGTGTTCTTGGACACACTCAGTGTGGTGTGGAGGTGGGTTTCGTTGTCGCTTACCCACATAGAATGCTTTTGGATGCACTCGTTGATTCCAGTTGTTTCCTTCTGGTGGGTCCCATGACTTTTCCACGTGGTTGGAGTGGTAGCTGTCGTCGGCATGGGAGTAGCATCTCTGTGCTCCTGATGAAGGACTGTGGCGTTGTCATGCCACTGGGTGTCTTCCAGTGCAAGGCTTGTGTCTTGGCTGCTGGAGTTTGACACTGTGGATGTTTTCAAACCTTTCTTTGAAGTCATCTTTTGTTTGATGTAGGCCTTGTGTGTCAGGTCACGTAGCTGTTGAAGCGTCATGGTGACTGGGCAGGCCATGATGCCGAGATGACGACTCAGTCCTGGATGCAGGTTTCTCAGGAAGAGGGTTTTGAAGTTCAGATCCTCTTCAGATTCAGGTTTGCTATGTGCACCGAAGTAGGCTTGTCGGAAACGGTGATAATAGGCTTGGGGAGTCTCTTGACGACCTTGTTTGGTTTCCAAGGCGACTAACACACCATGTTCTGACTCTGGACTTGTAAATTCTTTAATCAGGATCTCACGTAGCAGCTGGTAGTTTGACTTGACATGAGCAGGTTGTCGGTCTAGGACGCTTCGTACCTCTTGACTGGATGTGGATCTGAGGAGGTATAAAATGTCTCTGTCAGTCATATGTGGTCTCACCTCTAGGAGGAAGTCGATATCTTGGAGGTAGGCCTGGATGCAGTGGCCCTCCGTGGAGTTCGGGTCGAACTGGGTGATGTTCTTAGCCAGCTGGTTGAGATCTTTGAAGGTCATTCCAGTTGCAGCTTTGGAGTCTGGCTGGATGATCTCTCTTTGTTGGTTGGCAGGGAAGAGTTCTGTGGTGAAGGCCGGTGACGTTTTGGGGTGTGGCCATTCACTTCTTCCGTAGGATGACAGTTCTTGGATGGAGGACTCTGTTCTGCTCAGCAGTGATGATGCTGAGGGAGGTCTCTCCCTTCTTGGCTCTGGTTTCTGTGTAAAGACATGTTGGAGTTCATTTCTGACCGCGTAGAGCTCGTCGTTGGCGTCGTCTCGCTGTTGGGTCAGATGGTCAATTTCAACGCTGCACCTTTGCAGGTGGTCTTCCAGAGCAGTGAGTTTAGAGTTCTTACTTTCAATGTCAGCTTTGGCTTTCTCTAGCTGATGTTCAGCAGACTGGAGTTGGTTTTCCAGGTGCTTCTGGACAGTCTTTAACTCTTGTTTGTCACGTTCAGTGACTGCAAGGGCTTCTTGGAGCTTGTCAACTTGGGTCTTTGTTTCTTGCTCCGCTTCGTCGGACGCTTTGAGCTGGTCTTTGCAGTGTTGAGTGTGCATCAGCTCTCTCAGGAACCCGGTGGTCTTGAGGTCGTCCTGGACTTTCACTTCCAGCTTGTCTATGCGGCTTTGGGCACGTGTCAGCTCCTCCTGAAGGTGGGTGACGTGCTGGTGGCTTAGGTTTAGCTGGGCTGTGAAGGCATTGCTTAAGGAACAGGTTATTTTGGTTAGTTCCACATGGCTTTGGTTTTGGCTTGAATCATGTGTCAGGAATCTTCTCAGAATTATGATTATTATTAAGAATAATAACAGTTCAATTGTCTTTGGTGTGAGGCAGTCTGTAATGCCTCTGAGCCAGGCGTCCATGTCTTCCCGTTGGGCAGTGGGGTTTGTCGTCCACGACATGTTGGCACGCTCGGTGAAGAGACTGACACAGATCTGTGTGGTATAAGCCTATATGTGGTTGCACGGCTGAGTGTAGTTTCAGTAAGTGTGCACCAATAGTGAAGTGTCGTGATGACTAAATGTTGGTCTAAGTGTACACAGTGAGGCTAGGGATGTGAGGATCTCGTCACTCAACTGGGTAAAGGAAAGAAAAAGAGAGAGGTTAAAACAAATCTCAGATGGAAATAGCTTTTTTTTTCAATGGAAGAAAATATTTTTGTAAATATTTTCTATCACTGGAAAGCTGGTTTCAACTCGTGATGTGAGGACTTCGTCACTCAACTGAGTAAGAGAAGAAGAGAGAAAAGTTAACAACCAATTTCAAATGAGAAAGAAACGAAACAAAAAGGAAATTATTAACTAGGGAAAGTATTAATTTCTCATAAATGTTTCTATCAATGACAATCTGTTTCCAGAAAGGTAAACAATATTACTGTTTATGTTTGCAATGAAAAATAATACAATAATAATGCTGATACCTCTTTTCTGAGTTTGACAGGATTGACACACACACCTTCGGTTGGACCGCTTACAGCAGGGCTTACAGCAGGGATGCTTTGAAGGCGGAGTTTGCTCAACACTTGTCTCTGTTAATTAATCTTGGATAAGATGTCAAAGTTTAAATTGCGTTTACAAATGCAGGGAGAGTGAGAAGAACACACGAGGGTTTGATTAAAAATCAAATACCTAATAATCTATTTGTTGGGAAAGATTATCTTTGTCTCTTTTTAGAGTTGGTTGATGGTTCTTCCAGGTTTGTTCCCTACAAATGTGCAAAATAAGATGGAATAAAGCAGGACAGAACAGGAAAGACGTGATGAGGAGAAATGAAGCAAGGAGGTTGGATCCCGCTACCTTTAGATCTACTACGAGTATAGAATTGATAGTTGATGAACAACTAAACACACAAATAAACTTTGTAAAAGACGATTGTCTCTGGTTTATTTGAAACTCGTATTGAGATGGTAATGTCTCCTATTGAAGCGTCACGCAAATGAATTATTCCAATATAGTGGTTAAGTTTATAACCAACCAGCCGAAAGGATAAAGCGCAATGACAATAATAAGCAAATCTGAGTCTAACACTATTTTTGTAATAGTAATAACGACTTTCCAAATTTTAACTTTCAGAGTTCTTAAGTTTCAAAACTAATTCACCTAATGTGATTAGATCTCAAAGAGAAATGTAAAAATTATGAAAATTATGCAATTAGAACTATTACAAAAATAAATCTAGAAATCATTAGAAATGATCTGTTTAGAAAGGTAGAATCTCAATTTTGCAATTTCTTGTTCTTTTAAAATCAAATTCGAAATTTGACAATTAATAATCATAAACCAGTATTTTCTTTTTCAAGTAAAATGCAGGTAAAACAATTAATAATGGTACACCAGTATTTTCCTTTCAGGAAAAATATGGTTAACTTTAAAGAAAAGTGTGATAAAGTTAAAAGAAGAAACAAGAAAAGATCGATAGGTGTCTAAATGGTTAAATCGCTTTAACGTTGTTCAAACAGACACTATAGCTAACCGCTGGGGTTAGTATTGATAATAGTAACTGATGCTAAAGGCTTTAGCACAGGCCTTAATACAGACAACCGCTCAGCTTTAGCTTAGCCTAGCTTAGCTTAGCGTAGCGTTTGTTTGGTTTGTTTACAAAGTTCGAGGGGGTCAGAGTTCACCCGGAAGTGTTGGTTAAGACTTCCGTGTCACGATAGCAACTAAAGCGATCAAGCGAACGCTAGTGGGCGAACCGTGAATTGCAGTTGGTCAGTTTGTTAGAGTTCCATGCAATGTGAGCGCATTTCCATGTTCACAGAACATGTACAGTAACAACGATCATATTACGGGAAATGTCGGCGCATTTCACACTGTTCAAATAAAATACACCACTCGTAGCTGGGTTTACGACATGGGGCTTCACTCAGTTTGTTGAGAGTGATAACTTTAAGCACGCGGCGGTGCGCTGTATGAGAACGATGATCTCGTCTCTGTCTTTGTGCAGGTTTAGTTTCACACAAAGTAACAGGGTCTAACTTGGTTCAGTTTCTAAACAAGATTTACTTGGACAAAACTTAAAATAAGTCCTATTCAATTACACTCGGACACGCGCAGTGTTTACACGATAAATAATTGAATAGACATACACGGAAAAGCATTAACTTTAACGTTAACGGGGATCACGGATAGTGGGACACGCACTGGTGATCAAATAAAATAAACAGATAAGCATTAAGTGTTTATCACAATGGAACACGCACTGCGATCAAATAAAATAAACAGAAAGCATTAAGCATTTATCACGGAGATCACAATGGAACACGCACTGCGATGAGATAAATAACTTTAAGGCTTTTATGACTAGATTCGCCAAGGAACACGCTTGACACTCTGTCAGGAAAATATTGTAACTTACAGGGTTAGTTTTAATTACTGCAGTTTGATTTCGTTCGGCTTCTCTGACTTATATAAACACACACACACAACGTTATAGCTCTATGAAAGACTCTGGAACACGCAGATATCTCAGCTATAACGAGGCATTTCTCTGGAAATAAGGAACACGCTTAATTCCTACCTTATTGTAGTGTGAGATCTTATATCTTATGCAGGTATAAAGAAAACAAAATAGGCGACAGACTAGACTTCTCAGCTTTCTCTGGGAGCTTCACTCACAGATAACAGCAGCAGCAACATTCAACGTGCGCGCGGCGCATACGTCACACACAGACTCGCGGAGGTTCGGATCTCGCATCCGCAACCAAAAATGAAAAGATAATTTCTTGATATATGTTCACAATTTAGGTTGAACTGCCTTTCATTCTCCACCAATATGTAGCAAATGCAACATATAATAATATACATAAAATGTATTAAAGGGGGCCGAAGGCCAATTTAGCTCAAAGGGAAATGATTCATTGATTTGCAATGAATCTATGGAACAGAATCACTGAGCCGAGCAAATGACTCGCTTAGAATTCATTTGAACGGGCCGTAATTATAACCAAATCTATAGTGAAACACTATATCTTAGCAAGGTAACTTTAAATCGAACAGTACAAGACATTAAATGTGCAAACACGACACAAGAATATTTATCTTTTCAAATATATGGACAAGACTTTATTAGCTATTCTAAGCACAAAACTAAGGTCTAAACATAATCACGCACACGCACACACACATTCATACAGTCGCGAAAGGGAAAGAGTGAGTTGGAAAGAGTGAGAGAGAAAGTGTCAACTTTCTATATGCACGTAAGACATAACCTGAAAGGACCACCAAGCATTAATTTGAACCTTCATTTCTTAGAGAGGTTATTCAATTAACATCAAAGCACCAGTTCAGTTAGAGCCTGGAGTACTTGCGCTTTGTAGTGGCTGAGGGAATTCCCTTTGTCTGCGTCGCGTCGAAGGGGGGTTTCCCGGCCGGGTCCGTTGCGTGGTTTGTTGTCTTTGAAGTGCAGGGATGGAAGTTTCGCCGCTGGTCACGTGTGATTAGCAAGCGAATGAGAGTCTTTTCCAATTCGAAGCGCGTTGCAAACTTAACTTTGAAACGAGACTTTTACGAAAAAGGAAATAAAGGAAAGAAATGAAAGCAAGGCGAGTCGGATGGCTTGACTGAGCTGAATTGTAACCCTGATCTTGATGGGTTATTCGTCTGCTGGTCGAATTTGGTCTAGTCGATGTAGAAGCATGCGAACATGTTCTTTGTTTCAGAGATAAGCACGAACAGAACACTCTCTTGCTGGTTTTAGAGAGAGGCACGGACTTAACAGTTACAGAACAGAACGAACTGAACAAAAATCTAAACAAAAATCATCTGAAATCTTCTAAAATCTACAAAAATCAGGATCTTGAGGTCCTTTGTTCGGATCTTTAACTTAAACTCTAGTCCAACCTCCAAGAAGCTTCTGGCCAATTGGAGGCGGATCTACTTCTTGCTTTATCATAATTTATGCATGGTCTGTGAGCGGGTCTCCAGCACTTAGCAGAGACAAAAGACCATCGTTTTAACCTTATGATAATTATAATAATAAAACAAAACCTTTTACGCAGATTTCAATCAAGCCATCTTTTGAATTAGGAGAATACGATTCGTTTAAGAGTAAATGAGGCATTCACACTTCTAATGGTTGTATAACAATTACAAGAGTTAATAGTTAACAACAATTACATGATTCATATGTGATCTAAGCATTAACAAACAACACATGAATTGCAGAAAGCAATGAGACTTGTGAGGTTTGATTAAAAGTTCAAGAATTGTTCTGTGGTGAGTTTATATGATTTTATGTGTGAGATCTCCGATCTCAATCGTAAGGTTACTGAGAGTTCAACTCGAAGGGGGACGAGGCAAAGGTGTTCTGTGGAACATCTCTGTCAGGGCATCAGAGGGGTCTTTGATGTGAGATCTCGTTCCACCATTTTGGAGCTGATTTGTCTTAGTTAAAATTACCATATTGACACGTTCGTCCTGTTTAGTGCCCATCTCTTGGGCCTGTGGGGCAATAAAAGTCCTTATCTGCAGACAGCACGGAGTCGTTCCGTGACTCTGGAATGTGGGCTCCAGAACTTGGAGTGTTGAAGCCATGTGAATTAATCCCATGAGAGATTAATTTGATTAAGTTGTGTTTGATTCGCCTCGATTCTCTACAGGGGTTATATCCTTTGTAGATTAAAGCTTTAAATGTCCAATTTAAAACGAACAAATTCGAATCGAAAGCCAATATCTTCTATGTTTATGTAGCTTAATTTCTCTCTAAATGTGCATCCGGAGATGGAGATATGTTTTTAGCCGAAAATCATTTAGAAAACAATAGTTTATTAATAAACAATTAATGCCTCGTTATTTTATATTATTTTATTATCAGACACATTTATTATAGCCTATAAATCACTGCAGGGAAAATATCATTTCCAGGTTCTAATTTGGCCTCAGAAAACCAGTAAAATATATATTTTTTTCATATTAATTTGTCAAATATTTTAAATGTTTAAGGGGCAAAAAAATCAAACAAATATCTGAAAATTCGTCGATATGTAGCTATATATAGCCTATATATTGTTGCGCAGCATTTGGCATAGGCCTACAGTTCAAATTAAAATGTTATGCAATTTTAAACGGTTAATCGGTGAAACATGGACACCCCTATGTGCATCTTGCTTCAGATCATAACGTTCCATAACACCGATAAACTCCGCCTTTTACCTTGAGCACGCCTCTAGCCCGAGCTGGCCCCCTCTGGCCCAAGGTATTCGACGGGCCAGAAATCCTGGCCGTTGGCCCTGAGGAAGCCCCGATCAAGCCCCGGAAGTGACAGTGGAAACGCGACTGGCCCTGGCACGCACTAGCACGGCCCGGCCCTGGCCCGGCAGTGGAAACGCGGCTAATGAGCTCCAGTAGTTTCATCAATGCCTTAAGGAGATTTTTTGCAATCAGAGGGCCAGTTAAACAACTGCACTCAGATCGTGGTACGAATTTCGTTGGAGCTTCTCGTGAACTCAAAATGGATGAATCTTGTGTCAGCTCAGAGAATGTGCAGAAATATCTGAAAAAACACAATTGCACCTGGAAATTCAATCCACCTCATGCCTCTCATATGGGTGGTCACTGGGAGCGAATGATCGGGATTGCACGTCGCATTCTTGATTACATGCTACTTAAAGAGCAATCTTCCCGTGTCACACATGAGGTCTTAACGACGTTCATGGCAGAAGTTACAGCAGTGATGAATTCACGGCCGTTAATACCAGTGTCCTCTGACCCAGAATTTCCATTTATTCTCACCCCTGCAACTCTTTTGACACAAAAGACAGGTGCAGCACCTCCCCCTCCTGGAGACTTTGGGAACAATGAGTTGCTTAAGGAAGAATGGAAACAAGTACAAAGGTTAGCAGATGCCTTCTGGACAAGATGGAAAAAAGAATACCTTAGTACTTTGCAACACAGACGAAAGTGGCAAGACAAAAGAACTAATTTGAAAGAAGGGGATATTGTCTTGGTAAAGAACATTCAAGTCAGCAGAAATGAGTGGCCAATGGCAATCGTTGTGAAAACAATCCCAAGCAAAGATGGATTGGTGAGGAAAGCTGACGTTAAAGTGACTAAGGATGGCATTCAGAAAATCCTGTCACGTCCTGTCTCTGAACTTGTTCTTCTTCTGTCACCCAATGATAAGCTATAAGTTGATTTGGGATTCTGAAAACCCAAGGCGGGGAGTGTGCAGGACTGCATTTGTTTTTCATTTTGAACATGTTTATTTTAGTGAGGACTTTAATTTTGAAAAGCAGTGACATACAACCCCTTAGTACAGGAAACAGGAAGTACTAATAGTACTGCAGTAGTTCAGCGAAATGTGATCGCTGTTTAATCCTTAAGCATCATCTTTCTTTGCATCTGTTAGACGCAATGTCTGTAAGTAAACAATGTTAAATTTATTGTGTGATACATATGAGAAGGTTATTTGATATTAAGATGTATATTTTCTTAGTTTAATTATCCCTATGTTATTGTCAATCTGTAATTTTCTAATTTCATATATAGTGATTGTATCTTTTGTATATTTTTACAGTTTCACAGTTGAATCATAAACTTCAGAAACGATTTGAAGTGTCCAGCGAGGTTTTTGAGTCACTGTTTAACTTACTGGATAGTTAGATGCCAGAGAAATCTAATAAGGCCAGTTCAGTCACGATCGCTGTCTCACGTGCTTGGGCCTTGCGCATGCTGAGGCAGCGTTCGTGAATGAGTCATGTTCTCATTGCAGACTAAGACTGCGATCCCTCACCAGAGGGGGAGTCCCTTTGGAGATTCACCCATCTAGTTCTTCTTCTGGTTCACTCCAGCAGAAACTACTTCGGCTAATCCCATTGGTGGTCTGAGGGTTACAGTGAGCAATGATCTGCTGGGTGAAAGACCCCCTTGGACATCCCACTCCTCTTCAGCCGTGCCACTGGGGTCTTCAGAGGAGCGCGCTGCGCCATCATGTGTGGCTCCAGTCGTTTCCTTCGGGGTCCCTCTGGAGGACCAGATGTCAATTGCGGCATCGGAGGGAGATGAGTCGCGATCTGGGGATGACGACTCGGCTGCATTGCCCCCTTCATGTGTGGTAGTGTTGTCTGAGCCTTACCTGGAGATGACGCTTACGCTTATTAAGCTTACGAAAGTCACTGCGTGTTCCCTGGATCGATCGATGTCCACTCTCGTGGTCCAGGAGCGACATCTATTGCTCACCCTGACGGATATGAGGGACTCGAAAAAGCACAAGTTCTCGCCCCCCATCTCCTCCTATTAAGTCAGAAGTTTCTGAGGTCGCTTCGTGCTGTTCATATACCGGGTGCGCTCAACCGTGTGGCAGGCGACCTCTCACGGCAACCACCCCTTCCGGGAGAATGGCGACTCCATCCCCAGGCAGTCCAGCTGATATCCAGCTGGCGAGTCTTCGGAGCCACTCAGATAGATCTGTTTGCCTCTCCGGACATGACCCATTGCCATGACCCACGGCCAGTTGTTCTATTCCCTGACCAGAGGGTCCTTCAGCATGGATGCACTGGCACACAGCTGGCACCGGGGCCCACGCAAATATGTGTTTCCCC